ATATTTCATGGGTGTGGCTTCCCTGTCATGTCGAGAAGACACTATCTAGCAGCAGGTGTCCTGATCCTCTGTCTCTTACAATCTTCCTGCCTCCTCTTCTGGAATTTTCCTTGAACCTTAAGTGAAAGGTTGTGTTGGAGTTATAGAAATTGGCATCCCACAGTCATTTTTTGCCTGCATTTTGACCAGCTGTGGACATCTTTAATCGTCTCTATGGCAATACAATTTTCTTGATGAGAAGTGAGTTATACTTATTTGTGGGTATAAGGATGTGTTCTAGCTGAAGTTTTCCTGGTCCTGACTGGCTCCCATAGCCCTGTAAACTGGGTCCTACAGCTTGGACCCAAGTAAACATACAGAGGCTTATATTAATTAAAACTGCTCGGCCATTAGCTCAGGCTAACTATTGACTAGCTCTTACACTTACATTAACCCATAATTCTGATTTATGGTTAGGCACGTGGCTTGGTACCTTTTCTCAGTTCTGCCTTCACATCTTGCTTCCTCTGTGTCTGGCTGGTGACTCCTGACTCAGCCTTCCTGTTCCCAGAATTCTCCTCATCTATACTTCCTGCCTGGCTACTGGCCAATCAGCGTTTATTTATTAACCAACCAGAGCAACACATTCACAGCATACAGAGCGATATCCACAGCAATGTGTATTTGAAATATAGTTAGATATCATGTGAGTTTAGAAAAATGACACTAGTAGGTTCCCCTTCCAGGGTCTCTGACCTTCCACGCATGCATAGTTGGCTAGGTTTACAGTACTAGACGTGAGTTTCCTCCTATTGCGTGGGTCTTAAATCAAATTACAATGTTGTTGGTTACTCCCAAGATACTAGTTGTCACTACTGCACCCTTGTGTATGTCTTGCTGGGCTTGGTCATTGTTGTGGTCCATAGGCTTTGGGACTGGGTAGGACTACTGATTGCTTTTCCTCCCTGGCAGCTGGCACAGCACCTTCTACTACTAGGGCTTCCAGGCCAGTTCCCGCTCAATTCCTCCATGTCCTGTGTCTGAGTGACAAACAGGTTCTTTCTCATTGGTGGCTCTTAGATCTAAGTCTTTGGGTTTGAGCATATAACCTAAAGCAAACACAGGGGACAAGAGAAAGGGACAAGGGGAACAGGGAGGAAGAAGGCACCCTACAGAGGGGGAGAGCAGAACAAGGTGCTATGAAGGAGGAAATGGGGGATTTAAGTGGAGAAGGGAAGGGTAACACAGAGGAGGGATAAATAACACTGAGGATATTTAAAAAAAAACAGAGAAACTTATTTTGTATGCTTATTTTAAATATGTATTATATGCATATATAATTATGTACGTATTTGTGTATATGTATATACATATATAGTTTAAATGGGATTATGCCACATGAAATAATAATGTTCCCTTCAAGAGCCATGAACTAACAAAAACACCAGTGCCAGGCATGGGAAATCTCCTTTTGAGTTTTGGTCAGATGAGTCCAAGAGACTCCCAAAGGATATAAGCCATTGCTATTACCCTTTGGCTGCCTGCCAGAATGTGAAGGTAATACCCTATTTCTCAAGGGATTATATACTCTGACAACGATCTTGGAGAAATATGGCACATTTATTCACCGAAAGAAAGACGGTAGGATCCTGTGCTTTTTGAGAGGCAAGTGTTGAAGATCATAGTGAAGGTGGGGGAAGAAGAATACTGGGGGGATTGATGTCAACGCAGGGGGTTGCGGTCACCTGCTCCCCGTGTGCTGAGGTGCATGGCTTGCCCTTGGCACTAGAACCTGAAGATCTTCCACTAAGGGCCTCCACAGCTTCTCCTAGGAGACTCTTTGTAGGTACAAAGGTCTTTCCCGCTGTTACTACTTTTGTAAATCTAGTACATCATATTTTATTCTCAGCATCCAGGGAGACGATCTCATACCCATCCTGATTAACAGTGCCACATGAATAAAACATTCTTAGATGCATTAGTTCAAATAAATATTTAAGCACCCATGTGGCAGGTGCCAAGGCACACGGACAACAAACAGTTCCTCATGAAGCCAGCCAACACTTCTCAGTGCTTGGCCTCTCTCCTCAGTCCTCTGAGATCACATAATAGTGTCACATCGAGGTTTCAGACAATTACGTGAGCAGCCAATTGTATGATAAAGAAGCCACTATAGACGCTCTTTCAAGAGATGCCAAAACATCTGTACGAATTTGGCCTTCAATATTAGCTGCCAAGCCTGTGCCCAGGATGCCACTGCCAGTGCACTGAAAAATGGTAGCTTTACAAAATGTTTGAGGTCTCAGTACAAAGGCCTGACACGGGTACTCTTGTCTGTACTCTGGTCTCCTTCGGTCACAGAAGCATGGGCTTCATAAAGCCCCTGCCACACTTCTCAGCAAAGCACACTGATCTTAGTTCTGCCTACCATCCTTTTAAAGTTTCACTATGAAATAGCAGAGATCTTTGTCAAATACGGAACAGTTCTAGCAAGTATTCATATCCCCAATATCCCATGTTCATTTTTTATCCTGCTCCAACTTTGGACTTACAAAACAAAATTTCCTTCATCTTTGAGAGTTTCATCCCCATCCAACTGCCCTTTCAAGTCCAAACAACCCATTATGCTATCCAGCCAGTGGGTTGACTCTTACCCGTATTTGTGTGCCATAATGACATAAACAGGTACCCCAGAACATCTAATATTTTCTGATTGTATATTTCAGATAAATGATAACATACTATCCATTCTGCAATTTTTAGACCCAACACTGACTTTATCATTTTTGGTATATGCTGGTCTGGTTCACCCATTTTAGAATTCCAGCATATGGATATGGGTACCCACCGATCCCTCTGTTGCTGAGCCTTAAGGAGTGTTCATCTACTAATTCCCCAAACTATTGCTCACATGACTATGTGTGCCCTACACCATTCAGACACTGGAAAACCTTCTATGATTCTTTCATTTGGAACCAAACATAAAGAACTCCCTTGTAGAAATGTGCTGTGGATATCGCTCTGTATAAATAAAACACTGATTGGCTGGTAGCCAGACAGGAAGTATAGGCGGGACTAACAGAGAGGAGAGAAGAAAAAGAGAGGAAGGCAGGAGGAGGAGACACCAGCTGCCCATTCAGGGAGCATCATGTAGAGGCACCAGGTAAAGCCACGGAACACATGGCAACATATAGATTAACAGAAATGGACTGAGTATAAGAGTAAGAGCTAGACAATGGTAGGCCTGAGCTAATGGCCGAACAGTTTAAATAATATAAGAGTCAGTGTGTTTATTTTATAAGTGGGCTCTGGGACTGGCGGGGCTTGGCGGCAGCAGGAGAGAAATTCTCCAGCTACAGAAATGCCAAGCAGTTAGCTGGGATTTGTGTGTCGCGTACACAAAAAAACAGACTGGAGAAATAATCCAGGAGTACTATGCACTCCACACCTGAACCATAACCCCAGCTCCAAATCTTTAGAAGATTCATGTTCTTATCTAACTCCAAATTAGCTCACATGGAATATAATGAAAAGAGCAATACAATCTTTATGGCCTACATTTTGACATATTCTCTTGCACAACCCAGGATTTCACCCTCCTTCAAGGACCCTATGCTTTAAAAAATTACCACTTTCTACTAATTGCCAGGATTATGCAGTTGAGTCCATTGCCATTTAAAACATATGCATCGATACATATATCACTGTACAAAAGTGATTTATAGCAAGCAGTTCAGTCTTTCCCAGCCTCTGTTTTGCATGTCTATCTTATCTACCCATCAAGATCATAAATTTCCTTTGAAGATGGCTTGTGTATTATGCATCTTTGCTTCTTCCAAAATTCTTGGCCCAATAGAAGGCCTATGCCAGTGACTGACCAATCTTTGTTAATGGATTTCTATTACTCCCAGTTTCAATAACATCATGGGGGGGGACTCTCCCTAAAACAATCCTTTTTCTTTGTTACCCATCTGCCCTTCTGGAAGACAAAGGAACTTCCCTTTAAAGCATCATTTAAAAGCACATTTTAATTTTTCTTTTGGACAACACACAATCATACATTTTTATAGGCTACAATAAGATATCCCAATACATGAACTATTCATAAGCATCAAGTTAAGGATAAGGTGGATCTGTCTCCTCAAACACTTGGTTTTGGAATGATAAAAGTCCTCTATTAGCAGTTTAAGTATTCAATTGCTGTTAACCATAACTGTCCTGATGTGCTACAGGACACTGGAAGTTATCCCTATATTCAAATAGAGCCCTGTAAAGATGAATGACTCTCTCCACTCACAATTATACACTCCATTCCCAGAATCTAATAACCACTATTCTATTCTCTTAAGTAGCATTTTAAAAGTTTTTCTAGAGGTCAATTTATAGGGACCCTTCTTTAAGGAAAAGAGATATGAAAAAAGTAAATCCACAGTTTCTTTCTGAGGAAAATTAACAAAAGATGTCTTCACTCAGCACGCTTGTGTGTATTCCTTAAGAATGAGACCACCGATCAGAGACAAAGACCCCAAAAGGATGGTGTACAGTATTACCATTCTTCAGAGGGTTTGTCTTCCCATGCATTTGATTCATAGTGAATATTCATATTCACGTTGATTCATAGTGATGTTCTACAATCAGCATTTTCACTATTCTGAGAAATTACTATTGTCCCATGAGTGTGTCCTGCCTCTGCACCCACTGCCTCTACCTAAATCCTAGTTTTAATGTCTCTTTGGGGATTTTTTTTTTTAAATCAATGTTTCTAGTGTAACTTAAAATCAGTATTGCTCTAGGGTTTTATGAACTTCACGTCTCCCTGTAACTGACCTGTGGTGTGTAACAATGCAGCACAGAGGAGCTACTCCCTCTTAGTTCCATCTCGAAGGAAGATCAGTACATTACCACTTCCCCTATGGCAGGATCCACAACATCCTACCGCACCGACAAAGAACCCCCTTTATCAGTATGCAAACAAGTTGTGTTCCAAGTTCCAAGCTGGAATTCAGAATTCGATTTTTCCACAGCAACCATCCCAGACCTGCTAGGTTCCCAGGACAGCCCACACAGCCTGCACGCTCAGAATGCTGTGAAACCTTCTTACGGGGACATGCATCTCAGGTCATCTCAGCAGGTATGTGCCTGGGCCCCAGCTTTAGCCAAGAAGAGGCAAAGTCTCCTCTGGAAACATAGATATGCTGCAGAAACTGGCCACCTGATCCAATGACACTGGAACAAAGTCCTCTACTATTGTTCATGCAGTGGCAGGGGGCGGTGTAAAGGACAAGCTAAATATTTGGAGGCCCATCTCAAAAGTCTTGATGAACCAATGCATATTTACTAACATAAGTGTCTATTTCCAGCCTACATCTGTATTAATAGAGTACTCAACACTTCGGGGAAGAGAGCTCCTATCTGAAACATCGTTTAATGGGTTTATTCATTCACCTTCATAGCACCCCTAACCTGTGTTCTTGGAAATTTGGTCACAACCATCCCCTATAGAAATAAAGCTACAGTTTAGAGGCGGTACCTCATCGAGGCCAGCATCCACAGATCTCAGTCCTTAACCTGCAGGATTGTGCCGTGAGGTAGAGCCCACTCAGGAAGGAGATGTTCCTAACACAAAACTACTAGCAGCCGCCAAATATATTCTGAACTCTGCCAACTGTCCTATCTTCTTGTCATCATCTGAAGCTATTTCTGCCATTGTACGGTTTACAAAACAACAACAACAAAACCCAAAAAACAAAACATGTTTTGTTGATACTCATGAGAGAGCTGCCCTTTCCTAAACAGAAATTAAGGGGGAGTGGATTGGGGGCTGGGAACAGAGGGGGGATGGGGGGGGAGGATTAGGAGGAGAGGAGGAAGGGAAAACTGGCTGGGATGTAAACTAAATAAATTTATTTATTTTTAAAAATACTATTTGTTTTTAAATGAGCCACCTCAGAGTCTGTTTGAAGACTATACCTGATTAAATGAAGCTCAGCACCTCTGACTTTGGTTTAGGTTCTGTAGATTGAAACTTCCATGTGCATGCAGGTATACCTTGACTATATCCAAAAGCTTTTCATATTCATACATTTATAGGAAAGCGGGAAGATGGAGCTAGTAAAGGCAAGGGTTGGCTTAAAGGATGCTCATGCACTGAGGTCATCCTCAAACATCTAGCAAAGCGGGAGACCAGTGAGACTGCTGGTTAGGACAGCCCCCAGGCAAGTGCTCCCTGGAGCTGTGGAGCGCAACCCTCTACCAGTAGACTTGGGCTATTTCAAGGCTGTTACTTCATGAGAGTCATGCATCTGGTCTGCCTCTGCACATTGCTAATTTCAGCCTCAGAGACAGGGTCCAGGAAATGAGGCAGACACGTATAAAGGCCCGCAGAAACAAAGAAGATTCCAAATGAATAACTGCTCGCCTTGAAGGGATTTCAAATAAGAGGCTCAAAGATGGAAAGAAAAGATTAGGAGAAAATGATAGACCAAAAAAATCCACAGAAGCAGACACAGCCCGGAGCTGAAATCCACAGAACAGTGACGCGAGAGAGGCATTCCTGCATTTGAAATTGAACAGAGATGATGAGAAAGGGTTGGGGACAAGCCCAAGGTCAGGCAGTGATGGGGAGGAGAAATCAGGGTGTGGAGTTCCTGCTGCTGGGTCCTTTCTAACTCCAAGGGTGTGTTTACAGCTCATAACTTTGGTTAAGATTCAGGTTTAAAAAAAACAACAACAAAAACTTAGTCTGCTAAAAACAAAACAAAAAAAAAAACTGTAGACGAGTTACAACAGTACCATGAAAACCACGGGACAGGGAAATGTTACTTCCAGACTTCCCAACAACTTCCTAAAAAGCTGTCAGCAGGGAGGAATGTGTGTGACATTCTAGAGCTCAGAGTGGAACAAGGAGGGGGGACAGAGCACCCTGCAGCAAGTGCTCTGTTTTATCTTCTATATTACATGTTAGGAATATATAATTTATACAGAATACATAAAATGATTATATATTAAAACAATAATGTTATATGTAACTGAAAATGATTTTTTTTCCATATACTGTAGTCTGATCAGTTTCCTCTCTCCCAAGTCTTCTCAATACCCATGCCACCACACACACACACATTCAGTCACTGAATAAGTCTTCATGTTGTTGGGCCTCAAAAATACTCCATTTTCTAGAATTTGAAATCCTGACATAGTTCAGAACCCATAAAAGAAAAAGCAAGAAATTTGACAGTATTCCTTTTCTTTTAAAAGACTCCACAAACAAATGTAAAGTCTACCAGAAAATGGGAGCAAAACTTTCACAAATATACAGAGAAAACTTGAAAACCTTGACAACTTCTCCCAGGCTGTGGTGGCACAAGCCTTTAGTCCCCAGCTCTTGAGAGGCAGAGACAGGTCAGCCTGGTCCACATGAGTCCCAAGCCAACCAGAGCTATGTGAAAAGATACTGGAAAGAGAAGAGAAGGGACAGGCGGGAGGAGGGGGGAGGGAGGGGAGAGAAGGGGAGGAGGAGGAGAGAAGGGAAAGAGGGAGAAAAGGGAGGGGAGAGGGAAGAGGAGAGTGTCAGTGAGTCAGTGAGTGTCTATTACTTGTGAAGATTAGGCATTCTTGACTTTCCTCTGACCCCAACGCACCAGAAACATCCGAACCTCAACCTCTGAGCCTCTGCATCTCTGCTGTGCACTTCTCTCCTCTCTCTGGCACACACAGCATCTGGCCTATCATTGCTCACACACCAATCCAGACTACAGATCATGCACAGGCAAATACTGTCTTGCCATTGTTGTGATTCCCTATTGTTTGACACCCAAAGGGGTCGCAACCCACAGATTGAGAATCACTGCTATAGAGCACAACAGGCAGAAAGCCTGACAGGACTGCTGTATTCCCAGTGAGATCTAGTAAGGAATCATCAACTGTCAGCCAGCGCATTGGGAAGGACAGAACAGCCCAGCCTCACAAGGTCTCCTGGCAAAACCTTGCTACCTCAAGGAGCAGATATGGTTAGTCATGTGCCCGATGGCAATGGGGGACCATGGGACTTATAAAACAAAGAAAAACAAACACAGGGAATCAGAGACTGCTTGCTTTTGGAAAGAAATCACCAGCCAGAAAACCCAAGTTCAGTCTAAAACCGAGAGGATGCTAGCACTGTTTTGTATCCTAGAACAGTGATGTAATGATAGAACAAGGATCAAGTTCTTCCCACCTAGGCCACAAGCAAGGTTCAGGCCAGAGACCACCACTCAGGAGCAAGACAGTAATCCCCCCCCCCCCCAGTAATATCTACAGCAGCATTCCCTTCCTCCACAGTACAATTCACCTTTAGCTTTCCATCAAGCAGATTAATCCATAAATTTCTGTAGAGTTATACTTTAATGACACCAAAATATATGTGGTCATACTATACTGCTTTAAGCAGCTTATTTTATGTACATATTGTTCAAAGAATTTGAGAGATACTGTGTCAAATTGTAGCTGTTGTTTTGAAGCAACAGGCACCAAAACCATTTGCCATGTTGTATAGATTCCAATTAAATTGTAACATTGATATTAGGTGTCCCCCAAAAATCCAACCAAAATCAACACTAGAATATCTAAGTACTCAGCTATTTCTCATGATGAAAATGCTCCGAAAGGGAAGTTTTCTGGGCCTGTAGGCCACAGTGTAAATTTTAAAAAGGTTGAATTGTGTGGTATGGATGAGCAGCATGGTAGCACGGAGCTGGATGAGTAGGGGCAGGTTTCCAGCAGAGGCAGGATATCAAAAGAGGAAAAAGAAAGACCTAGACTCAGACATGAATAGAGACAATCTTACATAATAGACACTGCAGGGAGTCAGCTTTTCTGTGTGATCCAGGCCAGTGCTGGCTCTTGGAACACGAGTAACTTAGAACCAGGCAAAGTCAACTTTTAGGTCATCTATCTGTTCCCCAGATGCCTCCCCTGAGGACCCAGGGCACTGTCAAAATTGTCAACCTGTACATTCCTCTGAATGAATGGGAAGAACAGTGATGTTCCTGTGAATGATCTCAGAAAAACTACAAAGTGAATGAAGATTTCAAGCACGCTGGTTGGTGGTGGCACACCCCTTTAATCCCAGCACTCGATAAATAGAGCCAAGTGGATCTCTGTGAGTTCGAGGCCATCCTTGTCTACAGACCAAGATCTAGGACAGGCACCAAAGCTACACAGAGAAACCCTGTCTCAAAAAAAACAAAAAACAAAAAAAACAAAACCAAAAAAACAAACAAAAAATATTTCAAGCACATGTAACCCATTTCATTTGCATGCAATCCATCTACATGGAATCAACACACATCTTAGGGGGTTTCAATCTGAAGTTTCTCAATGAAGTCTAAGAATGTGGGTTCCTAATCTGAGGTACACCCGGGTCCTTGTCTCTTGTACCTACTACTCCTAATAAAAAAAGTAATTGAAATTGCAAGAGAAATAAAAACATTAAAAAATACCTCAAACGGAAAATGCCCATCAAGCAATGGAGGAGAATGGGCTCGGAGAGCAAGGGCCGAGCAGTCCAGAGGCTTCTCAAGACATAGGACCCAGTTAGAGGTTTCAGTATAGTTTAGTGACATGTGAACACTGTGTCTCAGGACAGTGGTAGCAGCACAGTCACACACAAAGGCATAGCATGGAGGTGAGGGGCGGGGGGTTTGAGGTTCCTTCTATTCCCATGGGCAAAGCCTTGCAACTCATGGGTCTCACTTCTGATGATCTAACCAAGAACGTGGGCGTTTACCTAAGTAAGATAATCGCAGGCCTCCAGGAGACATTTTACAAGGGCTTCAGACATTTGTCATTGAATTTTACGCTGACTTTATGTGGGATTAGGTTTCTGGGTCCTTTCAGTAATCGTCTGTGTACGTTTACCGACAGAGTTTGACTAAGAAATAGAAGATCTTCTAATTATTTTCCCTACAAAGTCAACCGGCAAAGACGGTGTGTAAATTTTGTCCAAGAGCTTCATGGTATGAGTCAGGGAGACTTTAGCCCTCTGCTTTCTCCACCCCGAACCCCAGCGCACAACATTCTCCAGTCAGGTTCCAGAGTATCAAGTGACAGCAGTTATTGCCTAGCATGCTCCTGGGAGTGGAAAGAATCAGAGCC